TACAGCATAGCATGTTTTGCACTACAATGCCGTTTCTTTTTCTCCAACTGATCATGGAAGAATGATGAAATTGTGTTAATAAGACTTCTATACCTGCCTTAAAAGAAAGGCACAGAAACACATGGGCTGCAATTCTCATCCCATCTCTACTGACTGCAGAAATATATAGTCAGGCACACAGAATTTCTTTCTGAATTCTCTGCTGTTGCTGCAAGTGAGAAGTTTTGTTAAGTGCACATGCTTTAGGATTTCAGTAGAGATTTTCTGTTAACTGATGTCACACAGAAGTATTCAGAGCTTTCCTTTTTTTTTTTAGAGCAATGCACTTTCTGGACTATGAAGTTTCCATTTCAAACTCATGAAATAAATTTTCCGTCTTAAAAAGCAGTGGTATTATTTCCCCTGTTTCACAGCTTGGCATATGCTCATCCACCTGATAGGTTGTTACAGATGTTGGGTATTTCTGTTCTGCCATACATACTGACTTGTTCCTCATTCCTTACAGAGACTATAATGGCTATATCTGTCAGTTGAACACTCGCAAATACACAGCTTCTTCCTCCAAGTACCAGTAATTTCATTCTTTTCTGCATTTTTTCATGTTGGAGAGCAGAGTGTGCTGACCATGCTTCTAAGCAGCACGGGATTTCCTGCATATCAGGGATGCCCAAACACCTTTAGACACAGGGTTACTGACACCTTTTAGACTTTCACAGGTACCAATAGCACAGACAAATGAAAAAACAAGAGTTTCTATACTACTTATTGTTACTAATGCTTCTATAGATCACCTATGGACAACTCTCCACAGACTGAAGGACCACCAGCCAGCTGTTTGGGAATGACTGCAGTGAAGCAGTCTCAGCCTTTTGCCACCTTCATGCTCCCTGTGCTGAGGACAGGACCATGGTGCAGGTCTGGGTGTGGAGAGAACATTCTGGTCCTGCACAATGCTGCTGATACTCTAGTTTATACTGAGACCAGCATATATGGTAGACCTTCTCCAGCTTATTCCACTGGTGTATGATTTCTATGGAAATACAAAGGAATGGAAGAGCTGCACAGGGCAGCAGAACTCTGTAATGCCATCATTTCCCATCTGTCTCAATATGCAATTGCACTGGGGCAGAAGGTCGATGACCCAGGCCCAGTCATCCAGTATGAGCAAAACCAAGTCCCTTTCAGTATTCCCTCCCTCCCTGCCCAAATGCATTTTGGACTTAACTCTAACAGTGTGTCATTATTTTCACTCCTCTTCTCTCCCTGACCCCCAGCATAATAATTCATTTTGTGTTTTAGTAAAAAGAAATAAATCATTTTCACTTTAGGAAAAACTAAAACCAATTATAAGTAGAGGATAAATTTATGACATTATTCATGAGTCCCAAATGAATGGAACAGTTTAAAACTTCACTTTAACAGAGTTCATAACTGAAACACTGATGTCACATTTTGGCTGTAACAGCATGAATGGTCCTGACATAGTAAGTTCTCATTCAGTGACACATGAACCTTGATATTATCTGACCTAGTACTTGCTCACAGTGAGATACAACATCTTCCTTTCATGATTACATATCATAAGAGTCACGGCCACACAGAAGTCACACAAATAAAACAACCCTGAAGACTGGATTTTCCCTGAGCCACCACCATTCATGTCATTCATCTTCTTTTAGCTCTTGCCAACAGAAACGCATAACTATTTACAGTGGCGGAGAGAACAAGCCTTCCTGCTGGGCCATATATTCCCGCGGTGTTGTAATCTGTCTTCAAACCGCTAAACCAATTCACACTGACTCTTGTCTCTTCTCTCAGTTAGCAGCTACACAAAAAAATGTTTCAGTATGTCAGTTACTAACATCCCTCTGAAGACTCGTGTCTGCTTTCCTAAAATTTAAACGTTTCCTTTCAAAAAGTGCGAAGACTACCATCAGTGCATGTACCAACGCAGAGGCATCTTGCTATGCATGAATCAACGGAACTGAAACATTTGCACAGCATTTTATAATCAAAGAAAAGTAATTCTTTGACAGTCCATTTTATGAATCACTTAAGGTAAAGAAGGAGTAAGCTCAGTCAACAGCTTCTGATTTTTGGTATCATACTACTAACCTCCGAGTATGACTCTTGGGAAATCTAAGTGTCCACAACTGCAACCAAAGACAATGAATGCGTTTGAAATGGGCCTAACATATCCAGGTGCTGCTATAAGAATGGATGTATTTATTCTTCCATCGTTTACACAAGAAATGTTCAAAGACCATTCTATGGTCCTATAGCACACCCAAAACAGACATTCTCAATTCCTTTTCCTGTGTCTTATGTTCAGAAGTATGCTATTTCTATTTCAGTGACCCCTTTAAGGCCTGTAAGAATCTATCTGAAGCAAGATCTACTCCATCTACTGCAGTAACAATACTAGATTTGAGGTTGTTTACTAAAAATATTTAACAGTTAAGTCTTTCAATAGCTGAAAGACATAACTGGCCCTGTTTACCTCTAGCAAGGCATGAACTGTAACAAACAGACACAGATCTCAGGACACAGTACTAATTTGTCTCCAGGAAATCAAGATACCGGATATTTAGATTTCCTAATTGAAAAACAAGTACCATAAAACATGGACACTTAATTTTGAAATCTTAGAGTAGAATTTATTTTTATAGTATGGGTCTCTCATTACATCCTTCAGTGTTTGTCAGATCTAATGGAGATCCTTGCTGCTATGGTCTTGGAAATGAAAAGACTGAAAAGACAATGTATAATAATTTACACTATGAATTATAGTTTTTATGAAGTTTACTTAGGATTATGTGAATAATATGAATAGTGTAGAAATAGTTCATAACACAGAGTCTGTGGGAAGAGCAATTCATGCTGTTGAACTAAAGCCTGGGTATTTGGGAGCTTTTGTCTTTGTTTTCATTTTTGCCATGCACTTCTGCACCACTCTCAATTGTTTTTACCCAAATGGACTGTCCTTAATGGGGAGCTTTTTTCATTTCAATTTGTGAGAAAAATCACGTCGATTCAGCCACAATTTATTACTTTTATGAAGCAAAACTTGCCTTGGCAAGTTTTGGGGACATTTCTCTTTAGGCTTCATATATGCTTGAGGCACAGATCATTGCAAGGAAATTAAAAACATCTTTCACCATCTCTATGGCACTATCTAGCCAGAATACAACTAATACTCAGGTCAATTCTCTTTTCTGGTCCACAGTCATGTGCCAGATCGTCACAAAGAAACTGCTGGATCCATACTCAAGAAGTCTTTCTTTGATACGTGATAGACATTTCTGACCTCCCATATTCTTCTTTGCAGATAAATTTCAGGAAAGGGAATAAATGAATAAGTGACCAAATTTGCAACTTCTTGAATCTGATACACAGAGTTTTTCTATAAAAAGAGAAAGGAAGATACTTGTCTGCTTTTTTCCTCTGAGAATTGGAGAAACCTTAAAAAAAAAAATCTATTTTAGTGAAATACCATTCTTCATAAGAATCTTGTTATAAAGATGGAAGATCACTTACATTACATTTATTTTTCTTTTCCAGTCTGTGTTTTTTATGCATATCTTGTCATTATGTAAGATAAAAAGATTGCATAGATGGCAAGACCATGACACCAACATGTAACTATGCAAGCGCTTGAAAGGACAAACTCTAAACAATTTTCTATTCTGCGTGACAAGAATTTTGCAACCTCTTTTTCTGGGTAGAGAATGCTTCATACTGAAGCATATATTATTCTTAAATATTATTACATATCTCCAATCCCCAAAATTTAAATGGGCTATAATTAAGCCAATACTGAAATTATTTTTCTTATCAGTAGTAGCATTATTGTGTAATGCAAGGAATCAGAAGCATATGACGTGTTTCATTAAAGACAACAGTCTATGCTTTTGTAGTACTAACAAATGGAGCGAGTGCAGGCGTGTGAGTGTGCGATCAACAGTTAATATCAAGCTGGACTGACTGGAAAGTAGACAAAATGACCTGGAAGCCAGGGGAAAATATGTATGTGTGTGTGTGTGCGTGGTGTGTGTGTACATGCCTGTTTTTGTGCAGGTGTCTGGGAGTGAGCAGGTTTGCACCAGCAACTGGAATGGGGCTGTGAGTTTCAGGGGGGTTGAATGTTCAGGTGCCAGTAACTGGAAAGATCAGGAGCAGGGGCATCTACTAGTTAGGTTGCGTGTCAGCTCAGCTACTAGAGGGATTCACGTTGTATATATGTATATATTTCCCAGTACCAGACCATCATCATGATCAGCCAGAGAAGGTAACAGGAAGAGGCTGTCGGTTCTGTTTGTGTTTGTGTGAGTGCTGAGTTTGTCTCTCTGTATTGACCTGTGTGGCCAGACCTTCTGTATGTGTTGTATGTGTGTCTGTGTGCCTATTGGAACTGTATGCTCAGCCCCACTACCAGTTGGACCCGAGGGCAAGGAGCTGTGGCAGCCTCACATCTATCTGGCTGCTGGATGCATCCCCACATACTTAACTTTATGAAAATAGGGTCCGGTATGTCAATTTTGAACATATGCATGCTATGTATATAATACTGTGTCATACATACAGCATTACACTCATAACTAAGTACTTAATAAAATAACCTGACAATGGAATATTTACAATATATTAAAAAGCATTAATTAGTTTTGAAAGCTTTTACTGAAAAATGTTTTTCACTAAAAATAGCAAGAGAATTCTTTCACTTTAACCAGCCTACACTATTTATATACAGAGTAAACCCCCAATATTCTTGTTTCCCACCAAATGCTAACAAGATGTTTTAAATATGCTTATTTTCTTTATATTTATAAAATGCCTTTTTTTCCTACTTCACAATTCATATTGAAAAGGCAGAGACATCCTAAAGAGAGGGACCTGTCTCTTAAATTTAATAAGGAAAGTATTTACATTGCAAATAAGCAAAACCCTGAAACATTCCTTAGTGATTTCATTTTGTCTGGTTTTATTTTACATGTACTTACACTCAAGGCAGTTGGTCCTGGAGGTCCTGCATCTCCCTAGTTAAAACAGGAGAGTAAGAAAATCAATAATCTCTTTTGTTATACATATTTAACCTCTAGGCTTTTTAGAGGAAATGCACCACTGCAGAAGTAAATTCAGTATAATCATCAAACATGCTCTGATTACAAAAATATATGAGTAAAACAATATTCTTTTTAAATAATGGCATAGATGTACACAGTTCACCACAGGTTAAATGATAAAAAAATGACAGGCTTCTGCATAAATGAATCACAGCTTTAAAAAAGCAATCCTTCAAAACACATTTGCATATGTTAAATTACAAGCTGCAGCTTACATGCACAAGGTGGCCACTGAAGTCAGTGTGACAGCTCACATATGTAAAGACATCTGACTGTAAAATGGTCACAGAATTAGGTCACTGAGGTACAAATCACACTGTGAGACCTTCAGGTTCAGTCCATGGGAGCAAATGAGAGCACCCAGAGGGCAATTAACAACATCAAATTTAGGCTTCTGCTCTGAATTCCTTTCAAAATTTGCTGTGATAAAGAGCACCCGTCTTCCACATTTACAGTTAGTCTGTATTCACATCTTTCAACCCTTAAGCTACATAAATGGCAGCAGTGGGTGTTCATCACACATAGTTAAAGCAGTATGTTCAATATTGAAGAAATATCATGCACACTCACATATAAATACAACCTTACAGATAAAAAAAGTACCTTTTCTCCTTTAGGACCAACCACACCGGGAGTACCAGGGTCACCTTTTAGTCCCTGGGCAAAGAACAAAAATGCTTATTTGTTGTCATCTGTGGAAAGTGTTGGTCAAAATCCTGCAGTGCTGTGAATTAGTATATGCTAACCAACTAAGCTATAAAATATTATCACATTATTAGTAGTACTGTCTCATAATTCTTTATTTTCATTGCCTTGTGAACAAAGACATACAAAGCCAAACTATCTACTTGATTGTGCCTCATTATGCCAAATAGCGTGCAGAAATGCAAAGTTCCTTTGCAGTCCCAGTAGGTCTGTGTCTTGCATGGCTGACAAATATAAAATAAAATACTAGAGAAAGTGCTAGTACATTCACTCAACCTCTCAACCAAAATTGGGAAAGAGGCAGAGTTAGACAGAGAGCTGTGGATTCCGTTTCAAGTAGCAATGCTTAAGCTAGTGAGCTACATCAGGGTACAGCTTAGAGCTGCTGCACATCCTCCAACACTTCAATCTTCACGAGTATTTGAAAACGCAATTAGAGAAATAATCAAGTCCTTCATACCTCCCTCTTTAGTTCTGCCTTCAGCTGGTGAAGCAGATATTATTGCCTAGTCTTAACACATTGCATACGCAGCAATTTCACAATCACTGAATCACAAAGTGGTTTGGGTTGGAAGGGACCTTTAAAGTTCATCTAGTCCAATCCCCCTGCAATAAGCAGGGACATCTTCAACTAGATCAGGGTGCTCAAAGACCCATCCAAAGTGGCCTTGAATGTTTCCAGGGATGGGGTATCTACCACCTCTCTGGGCAACCTTTGCCAGTGTTTCACCATCCTCATGATAAAAAATGTCCTCCTTATATCTAGTCTGAATCTACCCTCTACCATATCTACAATACAGCTCTTCCACTAACGTGTCTCATCAGAAGCACCCAAAAAAGAATCTTCAGCACCCAGCACATTATCTTTGTTGTCTTCTCCTTGCTGTAAAACACATGGAAAAGTGAGAGGTTTTGAAATATGCCCAACAAATTTAGGCCATTCTGCAGTGAGGAATGAACTTAATTCTGATGCTGGACCCACCTACCAGGAACTCCTTTTTGTCTAAGCCAAGCAATTTGTCTTGTGCCTTCCCTCTGATCATTGTTTTAGAGGTATGCAACAGAAGAGCATGTATGTTGTTAAGTCAGACAGCTCTACAGGTTCAAAGATCTTAGAAACCAAATGGCAATAATGTAGGCAATATGGGACCGAAGTATAAAGAGATACTCCACAACTAGGCCACCATCATTATTATTGTGGAGGTTAAACAGGTTGAGGACAGAAAAGATTCGTTTACCCTAATTCACCTGAATTAGGGTTTACTAACTTAAGTTCTTCCCAGCCCCCCTTTTGCCCTTGTAAATTCTCTTCCTCAGTTTGCAATAACTGGAAAGAGACAACTGGCACAAAAATGATAAGTAACATCTGTGCCTTGGTGGGTACAGAAACATTAAATCAGTGAGTGTTCTAAATACTGCATATTTGTGCAACTTCACTTCCTGCTAAAATTACATTAATTCACCATCTGGAAGGAACATCATTTAGAACTATATAAGCATTTAAGTACCCACTTTGGATTAAATTTGTGGTTGTTGTAAATACCCCTGATTTAGCTTTGATTTGTCCTTTATTAAGCTTGCCAAATATGTAATAGTTAAATCAGAAGTAGTTTTGCTGTTTGAACTTAAAAAATGTAATAGGCAGATGGATTCAAAAACCAAGCCAAAAAATTGCTTTCTTTTTACAATCTGCATATTTATGACATAGTTTTAATATTGTCTCCATTTACCACATTTTACTTTTCACCTCCTTCTGAAAGACTGCGTAAAACACAACCACTCCATATTCTAAAAAGCCATTTTAGGGTATGCAAACTGTATGGATTTAGTTCAAAATCAGTATTATCAAGTTAGCAATGGAACAATACATTTGAGTTTAAGAATTAGCTCTTAGGCTGTGTATTTACAGAGGAGAAAAGATAAAGGTAAAAAAAAAAAATTGTAACTCCTCAGACAGTGCTGTATCTCTGTGTGCCTTTGCTGAACAGAAAAGACAACTGCAGATGAAAGGTACTGAACCTAAGCCATGCACTGTCAAACTATGAACCTCATTTTTTCCTAATTGGTGTATTTAAAGCTTTCACTAGAGTTCCTGCAGTGTACTTCAGTGATGTATGCAGTTTGACAGCTACTGCAGAGATGATGACCACAGAAGTCGACTTCATATAAAAAGGACACTACATACTTGACAACAAGCCTTACAGTGTTTGATGCAGCAATTCTGAGGACCCAGGAAGGTTTCTATATAAAGTATTTAATTTTAAATGGTAGAATTAGCTTTTCTTTTCAGCTCACGAGCCCAAGAAAAAATAAAAAAGTAGTATCAGAAAAAAAAATGCTTGAAAGGTTATCCCATTTCAGAAGTATTTCTTGTTCTTCTAAACATTATGTATCTTCTAAAAATATTATCATCTTAGTAAGTTCCAGACATAGTGAAAGCTTGGAAAAACATATCTTGTACTGCACCATGCCTATTCTTCCCTACAGGCACCCTTATAAAGCTGCTGAGAGGTTTAGCTGCTGCTGTCTCTGAAATGACATAAGAACTAAGAATTCCTGTGCTAAGTCAAATCTGTAGCCCCTTTTAGTGCAGTACAGTACAGTATCCTGTCTCTGGCAGAGACCAGAACAGGATGCTTCAGTGAAATGGATGTGGCTATCTAAGCAGATATAATTTGGATGATTTTAGATTAAGCCTTAAATTAGAAAAGCTTATTTTCTGCAGTATTGTAGGAGAATGAGGTCAGTTTTGAAAACAGCAAACTAATTTCTATTGATCTAAGGAGTCTGTTACCAGATTTGCCAGAAATTCAAGAACTGAGCAAAAATTTCAGCAGCTCTCATAACAGGGTAAATGAATTATTGAATTCTACCCCAAACTAATTCTAGCTTTTTGGAAGCAGTATAATAATATACATTTGCAAGTTAATGAACAGTCTTCAGCCTGTACTTTTTCTCCTCTGTAAGGACTACAGCCTGGTCTTTTTACAGGTCAGAATAAACTTACATTATGGTTCCTCTATGGATGCCAAAATGTAAAGTAAACATTAGGATATGCATGTAATAAGGCCAACTCAGGGCTAAGAAGATAAAAACGTGAGAAATGGCAGAAATAAGAAATTTTTATATATATATATATATATATATATA